AACAAATCCCATTAAAACTGATTAGAAAACTTTTAAGAACATAGGAGAGGACTGGGCGAGATGTTACTCGCCTGAGGGGGTATTGTAGAACTCCTGAACACGCGTGAGCATGCTCCTCCTTCGATAGAATCGCTCCAAATCCCGCTGAAACTCTTCGAGACTCCTCACAAATCGCCAAGAACGGATCTAGGGTTTGGGAGAGAAGAGGGGGGCTGCTAGGGTTTGTAAAACAGAAGAAAAAAGGTGATTTTCGTGATATAACATGTATATATATATCAGCAAACCCGAAACCCGAAACCCGAAACTGGAAATTCAGTCTGACTAGGAACATTCTCTTTGGTATTTTGGCTATAACTTTCTCATACGACCTTGGAATAAGGTGATCTAATATTTGTTGGAATGCTCTTGAAGAGACCTACAACGTTGGTATTATATACATTCCCAGATTCTTAATGAATCAATGAGAAAAACATAGAAACTCTTAACTGGTCAAAATTCTCAGATTCTCACTCTTGGCCTTTGTGCATGATTTGTGTATTTGTATTCACATATATACATATATACATTGAATTGATCTCAAATCAGTTCCTAGCATACTCAAACATCATAATATATTATTTATAAATGTATAACATATTTATTATTATTTATCATAAAGTATTCAAATTTTCGGGGTTTTACATAAAGAAATGTAACCATATGACCAGCCGTCATGACTGATGCGACTACGGTTTCTAGGACCGCTAGCTTGCATAACGATGGTGTCCCTCCTTCACCGCCGAGAGGCACCGCTGATTTACCTAGAGAGGTTGATATACACTCAACGACCACACCTGCTATCATCTCGGAGCCCGTTGAGACTAGACTGACGGAGCTGATCGTCAGACCTCAGTCTGCGAGGACCTCTATTGGTATTGGTATGCTTGCAATTCGCTTTAAATTAAATTTTATCACGTTCGAGAATTTCTTATTCGCTTTAAATTAAATTTTATCACGTTCGAGAATTTCTTACTCTTCAACATGATTGCTTGTAGGATCTCAGCCTTCTCCATATGAACATGTCCTTGCCCTTTTGTCTGATTTCGATCCCAGCAGAGACATATTCCGAATGGATCTCAGCTCTTTCGTCGTCTTTTTTAACAGCATGATCGAGAAGATTCTTCATCAAGGGTATTGCTTTGATCAGTTCAGACGTTCCCTTTCTTGTCACCTGACGATGATCAAAGAAGAGGGATATCCGGCGTTAGCTGACTCTCTTACTGCCGATTTTATTGTCTTGGAGTCTGAACTCCGAGAGTTAGAGGAGCTAAAGGCTAATGGAGCTTCTTCTTTCGTGTCCTCTTAGTTGGAGCATAGATTGTCACAATGGCGTGATTTGAGATCTTCCATCGGCAGCGAGCTTCAGTCACATGAGAATTCTATTGCACAGCTGATGGCTAGTCTTGCAAGAAAGGACACTGACAGAGCCGAGTTACTCGGTTCTTTAGACTCCAACCGTGAGAAAGTAGACAAGTTGAAGAAGACCTTGAAGTATGCCGAGCAGTCTGGTGCTATTATGGCAGAGGAGTTGGCTGGACTAGAGAAATCTCGCGGACAGATGATTGAGAGATTAGGATCTACACAGGAGAGATTGATAAAGCTGAAAAATGAAGCCGCGAAGATCTTGAGCAATTCTGAAGAATCTGCCCGAATTGATCTGCAGGCTGAGCTTGAGCAGAGTTATGCAGATAGACTTTCTAAGTTAGAATTTCACATTCTTACTCGCCGACTACGTTCGGGCCCATGAGCTTTTTGTTGTATGCTTTGACTTGATCCATTAGTAGAGACCCAGTATTTGATTTAATGCACTCATCTTTTATCATAAAGTTTCTTTATTGATTGTGAATCTAATGGACACAATATTTATAGAATTTTTGGCAAATCCCCAGCCATCAACGGGTTTGATGTGCCTTTACCGATTACCGTTTGAATCGGGCTAGCATGCGGATTATTTTAGTCCGTTCTGCATGTAACGTTGTGCTAAGAGCGTTAATTCACTTAGACTTGATGCTATGATTTTGAATACATAGACTTCACCGTTTCTTATGGGAAAAGGTACCCAGCAACACGTGTTAGGCGATGACTTATCCCTTCTTAGGTTTCAGGATAAAATTCTCCAGACTTAGACTCTGATGTCTTTTTCAATCGGCGAAAGATTAAACCGACGATGTGTGTTAGACATAGACTTTAGGATTTTTGGCAAACCCCCAGTCTTCAACGGGTTTGATGTGCCTTTACCGATTACCATTTGAATCAGGCTAGCATGTGAATTATTAAAACCCATTTCACATGTAACGTTGTGCTAAGAGAATTACTTCTCTTAGACTTGATGCTACGATTTTGAATACATAGACTTCACCACTTTTTACGGGAATATGGCGCCCGACAACGTGTATTAGGCGTTGACTTATCCCTACTTAGGATTCAGGATAAAATTCTCCAGACTTAGACTCTAGTATTTTTTTCAATCGGCGAAAGACTAAACCTGTAACGCGTGTTAGGCGTAGGCTTATCTCTATTTAGGAGTTGAGATAAAATTCCTCGTGCATAAAGTGCGCGGATTGGAAGTTGAGAATTGTGTCTTTTCTCAAGACAAAGACAAACCCAAAGTTGGAGCGGAAGAATTTTATATTCTTGGCCCCAGGTCTTGTTTAGGGTAAAGATGAACCCAAAAATGAAAGAGGAAGAATTTTATATTCTATCTTTCAACACTGAAGAAGAAGAATTTTATATTCTATCTACAGTTGGAAAGAAAACTCGAGGTGGGATCTCCACCCCCAGAATCCGGAAAGATAAAACTAAGAGTGGGATCTCTACTCCAAGAATCAGAAAGATTCAAACGACCCTAACTTTTATAGGATTGGTTGTTTGATCCAAAAAGAGTTCCTCATTTATTGAGGGGAAAGTCCAATTTCGACCCTAACTCTTATAGGTTTGGTTGAAAAAGAAACAATAGCAGTATTTCGTTTATCGAAAGGGATGACTCGGTCTTAGTCCTAACTATCTGTAGGTTTCACTAAGTGAGATTGGGAACAATCCTAACTTTTATAGGTTTGATTGTTCGAATTGAAAGTGGACCTCTCGTTCATGGAAGGAATCGAGAGGAGAATTTGGCTTTGGCCCTAACTTTTATAGGTTTGACCTGAAAGCAAAGAGAGCGGAATACAGGTAGCAATAGAAAAACTGGTTTGTGCTAGCCACTCGATGGAGGATATCGATGTTAAGTGATTAGGACTTAACACGTCAAAATTTGAAAATTGCCATGAATTGGCGGATTAAAATTTTGGCGGACCCACCGTCAATTGATTTGATCAGTGGGGGATTTTACGAGGAAAGATTAATCTGTTAAAAGGATTGAATCTTGTCTCAACAAAATAACTCATGAGAGTTAGTGAATTTTGGTAAAAGGAAACATTCTAACATTTAAGGTTTAAATGTAGATGTCTTAATTATCACTTTTATAGTGATTGGGTTATCCCTAAGAATACCACACGTGGTATTCTTTCGGAAACTTCCCGATACATTAGTTATCCTGAAGGTACTAAGGATAGTATTTTTCAGGAATTTACCATTTATTGGCATCATAAGCCGATCGCCTTCCTTGGTAACTAGGCGATATGTGCCATTCGAGTAGACTGTCTCTACTACGAATGGTCCCTCCCATTTAGGTTCAAATTTGCCTTTCTTCTTGGAGTTAAGGATCATAGGCCGTCTTTCAGTTAAGACCAAATCTCCTTCTTTAAAACTCCGTTGTCGAACCTTCTTGTCGAAGGCTCGAGAAATTCTGGCTTGGTAGAACTCAATATGCTGTTGAGCCTCTAAGCGCTTTTCATCGAGCATCTCGAGTTCTTCGAGACGTTTCTGATGTTGTTCTTCGGTCGTCATCTGGGTTGCGAGAGCGATTCGAAGAGTTAGAATTTGTATTTCCAACGGAAGAACGGCTTTACATCCGTATACCAAAGAGTACGGGGTCGCTCCCGTCAGTGTATGTACCGTGGTACGATAGGCCCATAAAGCTGCGCCAAGCTTGTCATCCCAATCTCGTTTATTAGTTTTCACGAGTTTTGACAAAAGCTTTATGATTGTCTTATTGAAGGCTTCAGCCAATCCATTTGCTGTGGGATTGTAAGCCGTCGACGAGACGTCCTGAATTTTGAACTTCTCGCAAAACCTGATGAAGGCGTTGCTAACAAATTAAGGACCGTTGTCATGTATGATTCGTCTTAGAACACCATGACAGTAGATAATATGGTGTTTGATGAATGTAATGACGTTGCTCGTCTTAACTTCTCTGAGTGGGATCGCTTCAGCCCACTTGGAGAAGTAGTCAGTAACTGCTAAGATGAATCGGTCACCTTTGATTGACGGGGGATTTATAGGACCAACAATATCAATTCCCCAAGTCTCAAATGGCCATGATGTAACCGAAGGATGCAGATGCTCCGGAGGTTGGTGCATATAATTCGCGTGTATCTGACACGCATGACATTTTCGGGCATACGGGACTGCGTCACTCATTATAGAAGGCCAGAAATATCCCATTCTTCTGATGCGATCATAAAGTTTGGGCCGGGTTGGTGTGCGCCACAAACCCCTTCGTGTGCTTCCTTGAGGACTTCCTCAGCTTCTTTAGTCGATAAGCAACGTAATAGTAAACCATCGTACCCCCTGCGGTACAACGTTCGACTCTCCGTGTTATAGTAGAATCTCACTGCTCTTCATCGGATTGAATCCCTCTCTTTCACATCTTCTGGTAAGATTCCATAAACGCCAATCTCGGGGTTCAAACTCGACTTGAGTTGAATATACCTCTTGAACATCCTCTTCCTTGTCATCTTCATCGTAGATTGGCACTAAGAGTTGGTGAGTTTTTACCGTAACAAACTGTTCTGTTTCAGGAGGCTGTGCCAGAGATACGGCTTTGCTGCTAATGCATCTGCGTAAGCATTCTGTAATCGCGGAATGTGTTCGATGAAGAATCCTTCGAACGATTCTGCCATCTCTACCGCCATCTTATGATATGGTATTAAATCCTGACTTCGGACCTCATACTCCCCTTGAACCTGCTTAACTATTAGTTAAGAATCGCCGAAAACTTCGAGATACTCAACCCCCGGTTCTTTAGCGAAATTGAGTCCTATGAGTAGCGCGTTATATTCGACTACATTATTTGAGCATGGCTCGGTCAACGAGTAGGCTCGAGGCATCACATGTTTTCCTGGGGAAACTAAGACGACTCCAACTCCAGAAGAAATCTCAGAACATCCAGGGGCACTTGCTACATTAGTCGCTCGAGAAGCACCATCGAAGTACAAACGACATACTTGTTGGTGTGAAGTTACATTGATGTAACGCCCGCCCCGGAATCCCGGAGTCGGTACGCTATTAGATCTGATGGACTGGCCTCACAAACCACCACATGTCTTTTCAGCACGTTTTGTCCTCACTCACGCGCTCCCTGGAAAACTTCCCAGGGGGTCACCCATCCTAGAATTTCTCTAGGCTAAGCACGCTTAACTTTGGAGTTTCTAAGAGTTGGATTCCCGAAAAGAAGATGCATCTTGGTGGTATGAGTATTCCAATCAAATCTATCAATACTAATCACATCACCCTCTCAAGGGTTGGGGTATTACATACTCCCCCACTTAAACTCACAACGTCCTCGTTGTGCCAAATCATATCATCCAAGACCGTACCATCCGTGTGAGATTCTAGAGGTGGCTCCTACGGTCTCAAGAGGTGGCTCCCGCCCTCTCGACGTAGCACTTTACGTCGCATAGCACTTAGCTCTCACAATTCCGGTTGGCTTGGCTCTGATACCATTTGTAACGCCCGCCCCGGAATCCCGGAGTCGGTACGCTATTAGATCTGATGGACTGGCCTCACAAACCACCACATGTATTTTCAGCACGTTTTGTCCTCACTCACGCGCTCCCTGGAAAACTTCCCAAGGGGTCACCCATCCTAGAATTTCTCCAGGCTAAGCACGCTTAACTTTGGAGTTCCTAAGAGTTAGGTTCCCGAAAAGAAGATGCATCTTGGTGGTATGAGTATTCCAATCAAATCTATCAATACTAATCACATCACCCTCTCAAGGGTTGGGGTATTACAATTGACTTCATGGGTTTCATCTGGTAGATCGTCATATATCTCAGTAGTATCCGTAGTTGGGTTAGCTGCCAGGAGGTCACAGATGGCCTATCCTTTTACTGACTTCTGTTGTTTAAAGTGCAAGTCATATTGGGACAAGAGTAAGGCCCATTTTGCTAAACGCCAATTCATAAAAGCTGGCTGTGTCATGAATACTCGGACTGGGT